TATAAATGCTCATATCTTAAAATTGATCACACGCAGTACCGTCATTTCCCGATACCATAACCAACCCCAATTTGATTATCCGATATATTCTAATCGCCATTGTTATCAGATTAACGAATCTTGTTTCGAAAACAAGTTTATAAATGTAAAATTGCACAATTAATGAATATATAAGTTTTCGTCACTGCTATATTTACTACACGTCGGCTTATTAATATATAAATGTATAGTTTCTTGCCTGGGTCATAGATAGGACTACCGAGAAAAAGTAATTTCCTCACTATATATAACAAATGATAACTCACATATCAAATAACACTGATGAAAATAGAGACATGCGCCCGCTTCCACCCACGGTAATATTGTCCATTGCCGAACATTATTCAGATTCGATCGAACTCTGTGTAACAAGCTCGTCTTTGAAAGAATAATACTGATATATGACCTAATATTGAGACGCTTGTTCATATAGCCGCTTGTTTTCCATTGTATGAAATAGCTTTATTAATTGACTCCATAGTATTAAGAAACCACAGGTTCTGTGTCGGTTCGTGCACACTTTTCAAACGAAACTGTTCTTTGATGTTGACAGGCACACACAGTTAGCTCTGCCCTTTGATGTTGAGAGGCGAGCTGTTTCTCGTGCTCGAATGGATTAGCTGATAAAGTTGGTTGGAATTGTTACAGTTTATTTCAATAAGTACAACAAAAAGGACAATTTTGTAATGTGGGTGAATACTGTGGTATATTCAATTTTGATCTTATTGCAATGGATAAATGTGTGGTTCACTTTTCGAGCATCTCATTTAAATAAAGCCTATTCTATTAACATAATATGTATATATTATATTCATTTCATTTTTTTTTCTCATAGGAAATTTCGGTTAGTATCTGAAACAAAAAAACTGTCCAAGTCATTATATTATGTTGTAATCAGAGAAATGTTCAAACAAAGAAATGAACTAGTCAAGATAAAGAGTATAAGCAATACAATTATTTGTTGTCACATATTGATGTTTATATGCGTTCATAATTAAATGTTTTAATTAAATCGTAACGTATGAATTGTGTGCTTTATTTTTCATCGAATTGGCAATTGGTATTAGCCAAGACATTCGCTGCTACACGCATATTTGCTCCAATAATGATAGTTTGTGGAATTTTATGGGGTTTTAAAAGAAACATAGTCAATGGGTGGAATTTAAGACTGGGCAGGGCGAAGACGGGGAAACGTTATCAAGTTGTTATTCAAATTATTCAAAGAAATATAAGGCCAAGAAATACGCGATGACATTGAAAAGGAGAAATGCTTGTGCTACTATGCCGACATTATCACGGCGTACGTGGACTAATGCTAAAACATAGGACTATGATATTTTGCTATAGCATATTTCCAAAAAAAAAAAAAAAATCTTTCTGGAAAATTTAAAGTCTTTTCTAATAATATAATATTAACAGATTATTTTTTGTTTGGTTCTTCTTTTTGGATTTGATAAATTATTAAAAGGAATTTCCAATACACATAGTAGAAATTTACATTTGTAATTATAATCACCAAACTGACACCAGAGCACGAACTATACGCTTCGCTGATCACCAACTTGTAACAACGTTGACCTAGATGTTATATAACTGCTGCCAGACTTTATTATGGGCAATAAATGGACACACAATTCCATTGTAACTGTATAATGTGTATTATAAACCAAAGGTAAATTTATAGATTTCAGAACAGAACAACAATATTCCAAATACATTCACTGTCTTGTTATATGATGACTTTGGTTTAATAAAATTTAAAATTCGTTATGACTCTAAGTTAATAACGATGTAATTTGTCAGCGACACAAACGCCTCAATGGATTATGTACATAAGCTATAGATATTTTAATTACCTCAAAGGTGTATTAGAAATTACTGTTGATCTGAACTAGTTTCTTTTTAAAAAATTCATAACGTGGAACTCAATATAGAATAATAAATTATAGCCAGAAATATTGAAAATGAAGCTATATAGGTTTAAAACTATGACTTTAAAGTGAATATGTCGAAATGGGTAACTGCAGCAATAAATTATTATCGCCTAATTATATAAATATATTCCTATAAAGGTAGTGGACTAATTCTTTCAGGCAATTTTACATGTCGATGTGAATAGAATACATAACAAATATAGTGAAATTTACTGAAATATACATGACAAAGCATCTCTTTATGCAAAAACTTTGGTGCGCATCATTATTTTTTTTAGATCAGTTATCACATTGTTAATGCCCCACGCCCCCTTTATGTTTATAATATTTTTTCTGATTGTAACAGCTTTAAGTGATTTCTCGGTATCATTCAAAATAACAAGTCTTTGCTCTGCGAAAGGAGATCAAACAGTTATAAATGGGATTTAGACAAAAGGGAAACATATTTACGCATATACTTGAAGACTTTCTGTTTCAAATCTACGTTGTATTATTCATCTGTTTTATGTGATTTATTTTTGGTATATACGGACACATATTTAATATTCCATATTGTTCATACTGTATTAACAGGCCTTTAACAAATAGATCATGCTATAACCCTATTCTAAACCGTATCCATGATTTGTTTTACGTCAAGTTTTTAGATTTCAAAGCGCACACAATTAAGCAGAATTGGCAGTAAAAAAAAAATAAAAAATTACTACGGCTTATTATGAAAATCGTTTCAAATAAAGCGACCGAAATAAAAAAAAAGACACCAAAGTGATTTCCAAAGGCGATTGCATGCTTTTAGAATAGAACAAGCTAGGTGACACATGGAGCCGTGCCTAGTCCGTGCTTTCGATATATACATGCAATGGATGCGGGACCGTGAGTTAGATTTCTTTACATATGACTAATTGTCCAAGAAGGGTCATCTAAGCTGTTGAAAGAAGGGAACCAAACATACCTGTTTTGTATGAAAATATGATTACAATATAATGGCTGCTTCGAAAACAGATTGGTTAATCTGATAACAATGGTGATTAGAATATATTGGATAATCAAATTGGGGTTGGTTATGATATCGGGAAATGACGGTACTGCGTGTGATCAATTTTAAGATACAAGCATTTATATAGTGGTACGCACGATAATTTGTAAACAAATTAAACCCAGAACAAAGATCAAATATATAAATAACTGCAGTCCGACTATGGTACTAAGTACAAAACACGTAGTATTCATCAAGAAATTAAATACGTATAAGAAAGGATATACATACCTATCCCACGTATAAATCCATGTATAAAGACCTACACTTAACAAAGACCGATCTCACAAAAAAAACACTGTGTCGAACAAAAAATCGCACGGTAAATTAGATTTAACACCTACGCGTCAGATAAAGCCTGCTGGTCGTTGATAAATCACCTTTGCTGCCGTTATAACACGCTTTCGAGAAAACTCACCAAACAAAGAATACACACTGTGTCAGTCGTTTTTAACCTGTTCATTAATTAACACACCAGTACAGAAAACGCACCGTCGCCGAGATTTTCACCCCTAGCAATAATTATATCACCTTTCAGTCAATTTCTCACCCCTGTTAATTAACACACCGTACCTACAGATTTTACCCTCTTCGTATTAGATTTATTGCTATAATTAGAATTTTACCGATATTGGTAGAAATTTACTAAAAAGCACAAAATCTATACTGTAAACGTACAAATCTCACCTTTACGTAAATACTTCTCAGTGTTATTAGGGGTGCCTTTGGTATGGATGTGGTCGGGCTTAAGGAATTTCCATTTTGTGGGTATATTGATATTAAAAGATATTTCCAACCTTATACGGAGGGTGGGGGATTAAACAGTGTATATGGGGGGGGGGGGGCCTTGCCTTTGATTTATGCATAGTTATATTATATGGATGCTACAGTGTCGACTTTATTAGAGATGAGGAAGGGTGGGCTTAGGGGATCTATTCTAACCAGTTAATATTAGGGTGAACTCGACAATGCAAAGTATGTATGTCTACACACGCAAAGACTACAATAGAAATAGAGCCTCTAATAAAATATAGCTTCACACACCTTGATTGATTTTGATATTTGGCAATTATCTATATTTATATTCGATTATATATAGGCCTATATCATTGCTATCAAACAACATTTCCAACCCTTCTCAAATTATCTTAATACTCGGAGCTGTGGTGGGACGTTAAACACGATGCATGCAAAAATTAATTCCACAGTGTCGTGTAGGCCTATTTTCTTAAGAATAATAAATTGATTCATCACATTTACACAGGCTACAAACAGCTTAAAATTTGTTGAGAGAGGACAAGCCCGTCAGGTATTACCGACAGCGGCTTCACGGGGGTAAGAGGGGTAAAGCTTGTCTGGCATCGGGGAAAACTGTCCGTCTGATGGGGTGGAGGGTCCGAAAACACGGCACATAATCACCAAGTGGTAAGCAGCTGTCAGTTGGACACTTTACCCAATGAGTCATTGCTGACCTAAATCTTTCACATTTATGCACTTATTAAATGTTAGCCGACACCGGTAAATACCAGTATTAATAGCGCGCACTTTCTTTTCATTAGAAATATGATTTACAACGAGTTTGGCTAAAAAAAATCGACCTAATTATATTATAGCAAAACAACGACATTGATCTATTAAATTCTCCTTAAGGTCACGTGTATTTACTGTTATTCGCTATTTACTAGATTTTCATTGGCTGAAAGCTCGCCGTCTCACTACCTTTATTATTGCGAGGACAAAAAATGCTGTCGTTTAGATTATTTGTTTAAAACGTTTCTGGCACATAAATTGGAGTGTGGCAGTTTTGTTTACAACACATTAGGGTTATTTCTCGAGAAATGAATATTAAAACTTTCCACAGCGGTGAGTTGCAACGACTTTTGAAAACTAAGCTAGTTAGAACTTCCCAGTCCTCCGCCTAAGGCCAATGACATTAATTTTTGTGGATGAAATATATCAAAGGATATTATTACAGAAAAAAAATCACTTACTGGTCGTAATGAAATACAATTCTCTGGTCTGGTACCGCAACATAACTTCTCCATATCTGTTGGCATATCTCCATATCTGTCATAGGAACAACAATCTGGCACAGTTGAGGTTGGATATGAGGGTTGGATTGGCTGTTGGTTTCTTAGTTCTTCAGAAGTGTCAAATAAAACTGCAGGCATTTTTTCAGCCACAGACAACAAAAGTATCCTACATCCATCCACTTCTAAGCTCATTTACCATTTTCTGAAATTGTTTGAAAATTATGTTTGCAATTTGTAAATAATTATCTCTGGGCTCATACTGTGTAAATATTTTATATAATTATTACCAGAAATGATCATATATATATTTGTTATATATTTACAAGAAAGTGGGTGAATAATAATCCATTGTTAGCTTACAAGATATTTCTTTATATCTTAAAAATTTGTTTTCATAAATATTCTTGTTTGCTCTTTCTGTGTATATATTTTACAACTATTAAAAAAAGAGTTTTTTCTTACCTTGAGTCCCTCAGTTTTTTCTTTTTTGAGTTTTTCGACCCTCTCCCTTGTTGACTCAGTTTTCTCTTTTCTCTCTTTTTGGTCTTGGTGGGGTGGTTTCAGACGACGCTACATGTAATTTCAGCTTCCGTTAAGATCTAATTGTCCTTGATGTAGATGATGCTGTTGATGTAAAAGGTTGGGCAGCATGAGTTGCTTCTGGCATAGTTGGTAAAGTAGAGACGGTGGGGGGGGGGGGGGGTCAACAGGGTCTATAAGGTCCACAACCTTGATATACCATATTTTTACGTTATTTGAGAACGAACGGCGGCCATTTTGTCTGTCAGTTTTGCACCGATTTTCACGAAATTCGAACTCAGTCATCCTTAGGGTGTAACAGTGATATAATAATACGGTTTTTTAAATTGGATAAAAATTATGACCTCTATAGGGTCCACAAGCTAAAAACGAGACTCTTCGTACAATCAGGGGCCATAATTCAGGAAGTTACGTTCCGATATGCACAAATATTGAAAGGAACTGAGATCTTTGGGTTATAAGCATACATTTCAAGTTTAAACCAAATCGGATAAAAATTGTGACCTCTACAGCGTTCACAAGCTAAAAACGTGATTTTTCGTACAATCAGGGGTCATAATACATGAAGTTACGGTCCGATACATGCCAATATCGAAAGGAACCGAGATCTTAGGGTAATAAACCTATATTTCGAGTTTCATTGAAATCAGATAAAAATGCAGGTGTATGAAGCCATATCGGTCTTAGGTCTAATCAAAGCTAAGAATGAACCCAATCATCAAATTTTAAAGATAATCTGTCTGTAACCAAATCAAGTGAAGCCATGTAGTGAGTCGAGTGACTGATAATAATTTAGGTCGCAGTGGATCAATTTCGAGTTGCGTAAAAATATGCAGACATTCCAAAATTTTGCGTTTTTGCCCTCTACATCTGCGTGACTTAGAGCCTCTCAAAATACTCAATATAGAAGCATGTAAAGTCGTTTTGTGAACAACACTATTTTAAACGTCTTTATTTCATTGATATGCCTACTGTATTTAGTCTAATGATGACTGGAGGTTAACGGCATGTCTATGGTTGACGGCACAGTCATTTCAATCTTTCACTTCGACAGGAAGTACAGAGAAAACGATTGCTATGAAAGCCAACATTTGATTGGCTGAATGTAAACAGTATATCATATTCTAGCCAATCCCAAGTCTTGTATGAAATGCGCTTTATTGCATCCAATAGGATAGCTACGTAGACTTACTGATATGAACTAATGAATGAAATAAGGGGAAATATAAAAAAAACTACGGAGACTGTGTGCAGTAGAGGTGTGTAAATGCTGGGTAAAGCACATAAATTGTACAAATTACGACATAGAATAATCTAATTATTCTCACGTCGGGGAAATTTTCTGCGTGTAAATTACGCAGCGTCCGTCAATATTTGCGTTTATTTTGAAATAAATGTGTGAAATACGCGGATTTTTGCGTGTCTGCGACCTCTGGGCCTACCATTACCAAATGACAATCATTCAATCTAAATTCCGGTCATTCACTTCGCAATTCGTTCCTGACTTTGAAGCCATGAGAGCATAAGTAAATAATCGTAATGAATATAAACTTACCAGGAAAAATGGATTGATTGTCTGGCATGAATCGTAGCAGTTCAAGTCCTATATCCTTCTAAAACTGTCAGCTACATGTATAAACATTACAGAGCGAAGCGTATTTGACGCTTTGCGCCACAATGGGATTCCCCCTTTTCCGCTTTGTGGAATGTTTTACCAGTCTCTCAGAGAGTGAAATTGATGAGAACACCATCCACCTAACGGAATTTTTCCAGTTTTTTTTAAATACCGTTGATAAGATCATGTATATACCACTAATGAATTGGGATATTGTATAATATTACAATTTGTTGACCAGAATGAAGATTTGGACATATTATTCATTTACAGCAAGAGTGTTATTGTCCCATTAATAAAATGCTGTTCTTTATTTTCTAGCAAATTATTATCCGACCCAGTTGAGTATCTAAGTGTTTGCTTAGTGGAATCATTCTATTTTTGGGATTAGTGATGTCGGATCTGTGTAGATTCATCCTTATGTTGAGTTGTGATTCAGTTTTGCCTATATACTCTTCATTACAACCTGGACATATTATCAAATATATAACATTTTTACTTTTACAGGTCATAGATTGATTTACTTTAAAATTTCCATTTCCATTTATTTTTACTGTTTTCCCTTCAATAATGTTGTCACAAGTTTTACATCTATTGTCCCGACACTTTGTGACACTCGATTCTGTGACTTCAGAATCAAATTTTGAAGAAGTAAGTATTTGTCGTAAATTTGGAGGTTGTATATAAGAATTTATAATCTTTGTGGCATCCCATATATCAGTCATTTTTTTACTATTTCTTAATAAATATGTATGTTTATTTATTACATCCCTTGCTTTTTCTTGAGTTGGGTTATATGTTGAAACTAATCTTAAGACCTTTTCTTCTATGTTTTTAATCGTATGTCTATCCTTAGGGATTCTTAACTCTTTTGGATCCATTTCTAAGGCTTTGCGATTAGCTTCCTGTATGAGTTTTAATGGGTAATTTTGTTTAAGTAAAAAATGTTTCAGTTCATTTAATCGAACTAATTTTGTTTCTAGATTAGAAACAATAGTAGGGTGACCCGTCGCTCTACAGAAAGTTGGTCTCGACACGGCTAATGTGCACGCTTCAGTGGTTGTGTCTCGAACTATCAGGGGTGGTGTGTATGATACTATAAATAGCCATTGCACGTGCAATTCTCTACAAATCTATCAACTATTACAGCCGTAAAAAATCTATTGTTGATGATTTTGAATAGCAGTAATATTCAGCTTCTTGGTTATTACAGCAGCTTTAGAAATTACGTTCGTTTTATTTTTTAAATTGCTTTATCATTAACTGTACCGTTAAGAGCGGCATCTTTTGGTTTAGTACAAATAATATCTCTGAATCACTTTCGTTAGCAGGAACATGATACTAACAGTAGTTTCATTTTACTTTTACAAGTTTCTTAAAACAATTGTTGAGCTGGCTAACGTGAATGTTTCTAAATTCAATTTCTTGTTCCAGCTTTCTGTTATGTTTCGTAAAAAGGTAGTCTTGATTATCCCGACCTGTCAATCAGACGTAGAATGGTCGGTACACTGGTTAAGCGAGACTAATTTCAAAACAAGGGCACGTAACCTATCTTTAACTCAAAAGTGTCTGGATGTTATGGACGACACTTGGAACCAGTTTCAGTCTATTATTTAGAGATGATTAAATGGTCATATCTTATTAAGTACAACATAATCGTTTATTTAGTGACTATAATTGTGTGAAACTGATTTAAGGCTTGGTGTATATATAAATAAATATTGTGGCGTAATTGTGGAGGTATTTGGAGATATTTATTTATGGTGGGTCATCCCCTAACTATAGTGCAGACCCTTCTAGCTAGATTAAAGGGTATATTTCATTTTGTGTGTGGAATCATTCGTTCGTTTGCTCCCGAGGTTTTACGTCCACGTGATATCGTAGACAAGTTATTGTGAATCAAATTGCCACATGTAAGTTCAATAATAACTAGACCGGCAAGCAGCACTGAACCGGCTTTCAGGAATCGGACAGGAAGAGTGTCATGCAATAGCCGATCCATCGAGCTACCAAACGATACTTTAGTTGTTTTGAACCGGTCACACCCGATGGTGAAATCACGATTTTTGCAAGAGCACCTATTTTTTACTGTTTTTTTTTTTTTTTAAAATATCGAATATTTTTTCAACTACTTCCACTTTACAGATCATTGTCGGGATAGATTTAACAAGTGGTATGGGAACTTAACTTCCTGTACCAGAAGTTTCAGAAATATCCATTGGACAGTTTTTAAAAGAAAGGGAAATTAGAGAACCATTGTCAGATATTTAACGATATTTAACAAATAATTGGTAGTCTGACTCCATCTTGTTTAGGACTATTTACCTCCCTTATACAATTAGAAGCATTCTTCAGAAATATAACAATTTTTCGACTTTTTTCAAAGATTGTGGCCCTTTTTGGACCATTTATACTATATTGAGGCTTTTAAATTTGGATTCACACCTTTATAAACCACCATTAGGACTCTAAGTAACAGAAATGAAATGAAATGAAATAAGAGTAGTTTTCGAGATAAAAGCATTTAAATAGGCTCCAAAAAGGAAAATACTAGATTTTCAGCATCCCATAATATATTGCCTAACCAGCAAATTTGTACCATTTGGATGTCATAAGATCGTCCATTATTCGGGTTATCCAATGAGACTTTAGCTGTTTTGATTCGGAGAAATCTGGAGTAGTAATCACTTTTTTCGCAAGATCACCATTTTTTCGGCGTACCATAATTTATTTTCTAACCATTGAAATCGCATCATTTAGATGTCATATTATAGTCCATTAATGGGGCTATCCAATGACACTTTAGTTCTTTTGGTCTGCTAACATCTCCTGTATGGAGATTATTGTCGGGATAGTTTTAATAACCGGTTTGGGCAATTAAATAGCCGCAGGGCTCTGTAATGATATATTACATCATCTGATCAGATAAAATGCCAAAAATGTCAAAATACCGAAAATTAAATTTCAATAACTCAATACATATTATATCTGGTTAGTATTGTAATTAGGTCAGCTATCTGAATGTGTAACCATTTTATAAAAATCGGTTTAAATAATAAAGTAATAGAGTATTTCTCAAAATTTCACGATTTTTTTTCGATTTCAGTCCCTTTTTTATCCTATTCCAGACATTTCCAAGTCTTATTGGATGGCTTCATGCACAAGACTATCGAATGGACTCTCGATAGAGAAAGTTAAACAAAAATTGTAGTAAACTTTTTGAGATAAAGGCGTCCAAAAACGCTCCAAATCAGAAAATACTTGACTTTCAGCGTGCCATACTTTGCTGTCTGGTCATAGTATCTGTATGAATTAGGTATCATGCGACGGTCCAATCCTCGTGCCACCCAACGATACCTTAATTTGTTTAATCCATTGATATTGGATGGAGAAATCAAGTTTTTCTCAAGAGCACCTATTTTTTGTGTTTTTTTCAAAATATCAGACATTATTCCGACTACTTCCGGATCATTGTTGAAATTGCTTTATCCAATGGTCTGACAACATAGCTTTATGTTCCAGGGCTTTCAAAAACATCCATTGAAGCTTTCGAAAATTGGCAGAAAATTAGAAAATTTTGAAAAATAACACCATTTGTCTCATAAACAACGCGTTTTCAATTTTCGAACACTAGAAGCCATAGACGAATATTCAAAATTGAAAAATGTGAGATAGCTGTTGTCTCTGAAAAGATTCAGGGTTTCCAAAAATGTCATTTGTTTGAAAATAGGTAAAGAATTGACGAAACTATGGCCGATTTTCAACATTCCGGGACAAAGTACAAAGTTCGATCACTTCTGGTATGCACAGAAGTTTCAAAAATAGTTTATCAAGTAGCCACCACATGGTTCCACATGGTTTCCCGATAGAAAATTTGGTTCCAGATCAATATCTGTTTTCAATCATGGAGAAATAGGCTCCTGTAGAAAAAAAAAAAATAATAACCAGACCTGTAAGCAGCCCTGAACCAGCTTTCAGGAATCAGGCAGGAAGAGTGTCATACAATAGCCCATTCATCGAGCTACAAAACAATACTTTAGTTGTTTTGATCTGGAGACACCTGACGGTGAAATCACTATTTTTGCAAGAGCACCTATTTTTTTTACTGTTTTTTTTTTTCAAAATAATTGAATATTTTTTCGACTACTTCTGGTTTACAGATTACTGTCGGGATAGATTGGTTCATAGACCTTATCTACAGTCAAGACCAGGGCAGATAATTTGAAATCGTGGAAGCCTTATGGATTAAACCAGGGTATAATTAGAACACTGGGGATACCGAGGATGCATTTAGCCATCCAACCCCACACACCAACCAGCGGCTGCAAGGCAGGATACGCCCACATTTTGCAAGGGATGGATAGAGAACAAGCTAAAAACAAACACAATTTTTTGTACAATCAGGGGCAATAATCCAGAAAGTTATGGCCTGAAATGTGAAAATATCAAAAGGGACTGAGATCTTTGGGATATAAAGATCTGTTTTAAGTTTCATCAAAATCGGATAAAAATTGTGACCTCTAGAGGGTCCACAACCTTCGTATTACACACTTCTACACAATTTGAGTACAAAGAGCGGCCATTTTGTCGGACAGTTTTATTTCGATTTTCCCGAAATTCGAATTCAACCTTCATTATGGTGGAATTGTGATGTATTTAAACGGTTTTTAAAATCGGAAAAAAATGCGATTTTTCGAACAATCAGGGTCCATAATTCAGGAAGTTACGATTCGAAATGTACGAAATTCGAAAGGAACCAAGATATTTGGGTTATAAACATGCATTTCGAGTTTCATCCAAATCAGACGAAAATTGTGACCTCCAGAGGGTCCACAACAGTACGGTGTACCGGTGATATATTCAAACGTTTTTTTAAATCGGATAATAATTGTGACCTCTAGAGGGACCACAAGCTAGAAACGCCATTTTTCTAACAATCAGGGGCCATAATTCAGGAAGTTATGGTCCAATCCGCACGAATATCGAAAGGAACCGAGATCTGTGGGTTATAAACATACATTTCAAGTTTAAACCAAATCGGATAAAAATTGTGACCTCTACAGTGTTCACAAGCTAAAAACGTGATTTTTCGTACAATCAGGGGCCATAGTCCATGAAGTTACAGTACGATACATGCCAATAACGAAAGGAACCGAGATCTTAGGGTGATAAACGTATATTTCAAGTTTCATTGGAATCGGATAAAAATTGTGACCTGTAGAGTCCCAAAATGACCTAGTTTCTTTAGACCACAAGCTAGAAACGCGATTTTCTGTACAATCAGGGGCCATATTTCTGGAAGTTACAATTTGAAATATACAAAATTCGAAAGGAACCAAGATATTTGGGTTATAAACATGCATTACAAGTTTCATCCAAATCAGATGAAAACTGTGACCTCCAGAGGGTCCACAACCCTAATACGCAATATTTTGACACTATTTGTTAACGAGGGGCGGAAATTTTGTCCATCACTTTCGGTTCGATTTTTACGAAATTTGAACTCAACCATCCTTAGGGTGTAACGATGATATATTAAATCGTTTTTTTAAATCGGATAAAAATTGTGACCTCTATTGGGTCCACAAGCTAAAAATGCGATTTTTCTTACAATCAGGGGCCATAATTCAGGAAGTTATGGTCCGATACGCACGAATATCGAAAGGAACCGAGATCTGTGGGTTATAAACATACATTTCAAGTTTAAACCAAATCGGATAAAAATTGTGACCACTACAGTGTTCACAAGCTAAAAACGTGATTTTTCGTACAATCAGGGGCCATAGTCCATGAAGTTACAGTACGATACATGCCAATAACGAAAGGAACCGAGATCTTAGGGTGATAAACCTATATTTCAAGTTTCATTGGAATCGGATAAAAATTGTGACCTGTAGAGTCCCAAAATGACCTAGTTTCTTTAGGCCTGAAATGTTATATAAACTATTAATTAGACGTTTATTAACTTGCCTAGACCATATAATCAACTCTGGAAGCCACTGGATGGACCCGGTTTTAAGTAGATTAGAATTGTTCGGCCATTTAATGATTTAATTTAAAAATAGTCTTAAACAACCAGTACAGTTGGTACAATATCTGTGCACACATCTTGTTAATCCTTCAAAGACTAATATTCGCTCAGAATAAAGTGATTTGAATGAAATTTTCAATATTTTCAGATTTTTATTATCTATTTTTTAACAGCTCTTTATCTAAATTTTACATAATGTATCTTACATGATATATTATTCATTTATAAAAACCAACCATGTCCAGTCTTTGCTAAAATAACAATATTGTTATTAATTTATAACAATCAACCACGTCAAGTCTTTGTTAAAATAACAATATTATTAATTTATAAAAAGTAACCACATTCAGTCTTTGTTAAAGTAGTAATATTGTTATTAATTTATAAAAACCAACCACGTCCAGTCTTTGCATGCAGTTAAAACATATCGTATTACCACAACATTTCTCATATATGTTGGCTATCAAAAGAGGGGGGGGGGTTGGATGGCTGAATGGTTAGCATGTGCATGCTGTATCATAAGGTCTGTCATTGAGTCAACTGGCGTGGTTTTGATTCCCTGGTTGCATGTGATAAGGAGTAGGGTCACTTGTCCACCCTCGTCGGTTTTCTCCGGGTACTCTGGTTTCCTCCCACTGCTAACACTAGGGACCGAGTATCATTCAGATTTGATGAAAAAAGGAAAGAAACTGAGCTTACCATCTATAATCTAATACACATATTCAGTTAATAGATTGCCATGCAGAAAGTATTAAATACCATCAAGATTCATCAAATAACGCCCAGTTTGTGCTACCGTTTTTTCATCAAATCTGAATGATACCCGGACCCTACGCGCAAGCGAATTATTGAAATAAAATTGAACTGTGTGTTAGTCACGAAATGACCTAGTTGTGTTGAGTGGACGTTAAACCCCATTTTTCTCTCTCTTTCTCACAACATTTCTCGTACATGTTGGCTACCAAAAGAATATCATTAAATACGATTGTACTATGGACAAGGAACCAAGGGTTACGTCCTCGCCACCATCTTGGAATTGCGATGTTATATCAAAAGTCAAAGTCTGTCAATTGATGCACATGTATCAAAGGAACAATCCAGCCAAGTTTCATATTGTTAGTACTTTAATTGGCAGAACATTATGATTTTTACAAGGAGTGTCACGACCAAGATCAATAACACGATGAGTAGCGCTTGGAGGAGACTAGTTCCTGGATATATATAGTATTAACCTTGTTTGGTGATTTGTGAAATGAAATGAAATGGGGTTTAATGTCCTACTGCTCCGAATTGGCTAATGAAGACGGGCATAAGTCATACAGTTGGAGGGGCAAAGCTGGGGCAAAGTCCAAGGTTAAGGGGGCAAAGGCATGAGCTTCAACTAGGGGTATGGCGGGGTGGCCCCCAGAAAATTTTGAAAAACAGGTTGCCGGAAATGCAGCCTGGCAGTATTTAAGGCACTGATCGTTGAGTTAAAGTGTCAGACGAACGGACTGGCGAACCTCGACGAAGCCCACTTACGAGCGTCAAAGTAGGGAGTCCTTACAGAGAGTATGGGGGTCCTCCCCCAGAAAATATTGAAAAATAGACTGCCGAAAATGCTGTCTGACAGTATTCAGTCAGGAAACGATTGTCCAGAAAAAGAGATCTGACCATGAGATACCGTCCGTCACCTGATCACTAGTTTTTCTGACCAGAGAACAAAATGTCAAACGAACGAACTTGCGAACCTCAACGAATATCCCTTATGAGCGCAAAGTAGCGAGTCTTTTGAAAAATTTTCTGTCGGAAATGCTCTACAACATACAAGTCTATGACTGAGTGGGGATGTGGGATTTATTCACCGTAGAAGGTATTGATTACCGAAACGTACCACAAATATTTTTTTTCATTTTCTAAAATTATTGGGGGGGCAAACAGAGGGCAGACCAGATTTATGATGGTGCAAATGCCCCCCCTTGCCCCCTCATGGCCCCGCCACTGGCTATGAGTGAAAATGTGGGTGCATAAAAATGAAACAAAGTACTAATATCATATACTTCGACAGACAACCAAAATTCTAAAATTATATAGAATTCTCTTACCCACTTGTACTTTTGAAGACCTGGACAGGATCATCAAAAAAAGAATCTTCATCTAATTCACTACCTAGTATATCATTGATGTCAGGATTTTTACTGTTCTTACTCTTATTATTATTATCTTTTCTATCAGACACACTTTCAGACTGAAATGGAATAAAGTTGTTTGGTTTATGAAAAATCTTTCCTTTCGAAACAAGCGGTTGCCATGCAAGATACTTCCACCTTTTGACAGAGATGGACAGAGAATGAGCTAAGAAAGAAATGTGATTTTTTGTACAATCTGGGGCCATTATCCAGGAAATTCCATGTATGGTTTGATATGATATAACCCAAAGATCTAGGTTCCTTTCGATATTCGTGCACATCGGACCATAACTTCCTGAATTATGGCCCCTGATTGTACAAAAAATCACGTTTTTAGCTTGTGGACCCTATAGAGGTCATAATTTTTATCCGATTTAAAAAAACGTACTATTTTATCACGGCTCAGTTTGAATCTCGTGAAAATCGGCACAAAACTGACTGACAAAATGGCCACCCTTCATTCTCAAATAGCGTAAAAATATGGTATATCAAAGTTATGGACCCTATAGAGGTCATAATTTTTATCCGATTTAAAAAAACGTATTATTATACTATTCAAAAAAAGTAGGGGATATTTGATTTTGGGGGCATAATACTAAAATATGCAAATGACTACGAAAAAAGTCACTATAGAACCTAACAGAAGAAACATTTCCAGTTACATGTGACGCCCAAACGCACCAATAGCTACCGCATGGAATGCAGGTGATGCTTGGGATCATCATGAGGGTCCAACCCAAGATTTGCACGACTCTGACTTTGAATGTTACAGTCATTGTGGCATTGAATTCCAGGGTGGAAACATCAGTTTAATTGTTTTAGTGACCAGAAAACAAATTTTGATATGCGTCGGCTTACCCAAAATGAAAGGTTACGTGCCCTTGGCATGCTACAGATCGGCACAACACAGGCGGTTGTGGCGCGGACGATGAATGTTTCTCAGTCTGTCATAAGCAGGCTATGGTCCAGATACCGTGATACACAATCTGTACAGGACAGACCACGCTCAGGTCGACCAAGGGCGACAACTCAAGCCCAGGATCGATTTATCCGTACCTTGGCCTTGAGAAATCGTGTCATCACAGCAAATCAGATCAGCGCTCGTCTTCAAACAGACACTTGTGTGAGAGTGAGTGGCCAGACGATTCGGAATCGACTGCATAGGGGTCACCTTCGCGCCCGACGTCCTCGCGTGATCCCTTGTTTGAGAGATCATCACATTCAGGCAAGACGTCGTTGGTGTAGGGATCGTCAACACTGGGATAATCGACGCTGGAGCAATGTGATGTTTTCAGATGAGTCAAGGTTCACTGTTGATTTTTTGGACAGACGTAGGAGGGTGTGGCGTCGTCGAAACCAGCGCTTCCAAGACGTTAACGTCATCAGACATGATCGATTTGGGGGTGGTTCTGTTATGGTGTGGGGAGGCATCACTGTTGCTGGAAGAACGGCTTTACATGTTGTTGCAGGGCGTGTTACAGGCCAGTACTACCGGGACAACATCTTGGCAGTCCATGTTGTGCCGTTCGCACGACGTCATGGCCGCCGTTTCATCTTCCAGGATGACAACGCAAGATGTCACAGGGCCAGGATCGTTACAGGTTACCTCCAACAACAGAACATCACCACATTACCTTGGCCAGCACTGAGTCCCGACCTCTCCCCCATCGAGCATGTCTGGGACATGCTTGGACAGAGGTTACGTCAACGTCAACAACGTCCTGCCAATGTCCAAGAACTTGCTGCTGCGTTGCAACAGGAATGGGACAATCTGGACCAAAATGACCTTAGACGTCTCATTAGGAGTATGCCACGTCGGATCAATGCTTGTTTGGCAAACAGAGGAGGATTTACCCGTTACTGACTTGGTTGTGATGCTGTGGTAACTTTGCTGTTTGACCCCGGGTATCATTTTACCCTTATAATGGTCAGTCTGTGCCTTACTTAGTCAAACGATCATTTGGAATAAATCGATGAATGTGAACTTCATTTCATTTTGTCATTTGTTTCTTCCTCAGTTTCATTAGGTGACTTTAATAACACTTAAAAATCAAATATCCCCTACTTTTTTTGAATAGTATATATCACCGTTACACCCTAAGGACGGCTGAGTTCGAACTTTGTGAAAATCGCCCCAAAACTGACAGACAAAATGGCCGCCCTTCGTTCTCAAATAGCGTAAGAATATGGTATATCAAGGTTGTGGACCCTATAGGTCACAATTTTTATCCGATTTTGTTGAAACTTGAAATGTAAGTTTATAACCCAAAGATCTCGGTTCCTTTCAATATTCGCGCATATCGGACAGTAACTTCCTGAATTATGGCCCCTGATTTACGAAAAATCACGTTTTTAGCTCATGGACCCTATACAGGTCATAATTTTTATCTGATTTAAAAAAGAACGTATTATTATATCACTGTTACACGCTAAGGATGGCCGAGTTCGAATTTCGTGAAAATCGGTCCAAAACTGACAGACAAAATGGCCGCCCCTTCGTTCTCAAATGGCGTAAAAATATGGTATATCAAGGGTGTGGACCCTATAGAGGTCAGAATTTTAATCCTATTTTGATGAAACTTGAAATATAAGTTTATAACCCAAGGATCTCAGTTCCTTTTGATATTCGCGCATATCGGACCATAACTTCCTGAATTATGGCCCCTGGACCCTATAGAGGTCATAATTTTTATCCGATTTAAAAAAACTGAGTTTGAATTTCGTGAAAATCAGCCCAAAAGTGACAGACAAAATGGCCGCCATTCATTCTCAAATAGCGTAAAAATATGGTATATCAAGGTTCTGGACCCTATAGAGGTCACAAATTTTATCCGATTTTGTTGAATCTTGAAATATAAGTTTATAACACAAAGATCTTGGTTCCTTTCGATATTTGTGCTGTAAAGCTTCAGCGAAAATTTTTTTTTTTCCCCGAAGCATCCCCAATTCAAATATCCTCAAAGGTCCCCTGATAAATCAGCAAGATATCACTGATGCTTCGGCGATGCCTCTGTAAAGCTCCTGTTCCCCGACGCCTAACTGTGTGCTCGAAACAAATATTTCGCGGAAGCTCCAGAGAATCATCCCTGGAGTTTCCTTGTGGATCTGGAAAGCTCCGGGGATGCGTTCCCGGTCTGTTTTCTTGACAATGCCTCCTGATGGGTCCATCAAATTCTATCTGTAGTAAATCTGAAAGGCAAAAATTGCCCAGTGGTACCTACTCATTATATAAGACAATTGTAACTGGCTTAATACGCCCTAACAAGTATTACTACTTCAAATTGTGCGACTTATTAATATTTTAATTGTTGATTATTTATTATTTTATATTTATCGTTTCGACTATAATCTTATTATATGTTACACCAGATAAAAATTTCGAAATTTCAATCAGAAATAATATAATGACTGGATAGCTTGATTTTTAATATCGTACGGGTTGAAAAAGGTTATTAAGTTTAGATATGGCAGAAATAATAACTTATTTCTCCCACGTGACCATATATACTATTCAAAAAAAGTAGGGGATATTTGATTTTTAAGTGTTATTAAAGTCACCTAATGAAACTGACGAAGAAACAAATGACAAAATGAAATGAAGTTTACATTCATCGATTTATTCCAAATGATCGTTAGACTAAGTAAGGCACAGACTGACCATTATAAGGGTAAAATGATACCCGGGGTCAAACAGCAAAGTTACCACAGCATCACAACCAAGTCAGTAACGGGTAAATCCTCCTCTGTTTGCCAAACAAGCATTGATCCGACGTGGCATACTCCTAATGAGACGTCTAAGGTCATTTTGGTCCAGATTGTCCCATTCCTGTTGCAACGCAGCAGCAAGTTCTTGGACATTGGCAGGACGTTGTTGACGTTGACGTAACCTCTGTCCAAGCATGTCCCAGACATGCTCGATGGGGGAGAGGTCGGGACTCAGTGCTGGCCAAGGTAATGTGGTGATGTTCTGTTGTTGGAGGTAACCTGTAACGATCCTGGCCCTGTGACATCTTGCGTTGTCATCCTGGAAGATGAAACGGCGGCCATGACGTCGTGCGAACGGCACAACATGGACTGCCAAGATGTTGTCCCGGTAGTACTGGCCTGTAACACGCCCTGCAACAACATGTAAAGCCGTTCTTCCCGACACAGTGATGCCTCCCCACACCATAACAGAACCACCCCCAAATCGATCATGTCTGATGACGTTAACGTCTTGGAAGCGCTCGTTTCGACGACGCCACACCCTCCTACGTCTGTCCAAAAAATCAACAGTGAACCTTGACTCATCTGAAAACATCACATTGCTCCAGCGTCGATTATCCCAGTGTTGACGATCCCTACACCAACGACGTCTTGCCTGAATGTGATGATCTCTCAAACAAGGGATCACGCGAGGACGTCGGGCGCGAAGGTGACCCCTATGCAGTCGATTCCGAATCGTCTGGCCACTCACTCTCACACCAGTGTATGTTTGAAGACGAGCGCTGATCTGATTTGCTGTGATGACACGATTTCTCAAGGCCAAGGTACGGATAAATCGATCCTGGGCTTGAGTTGTCGCCCTTGGTCGACCTGAGCGTGGTCTGTCTTGTACAGAATGTGTATCACGGTATCTGGACCATAGCCTGCTTATGACAGACTGAGAAACATTCATCGTCCGCGCCACAACCGTCTGTGTTGTGCCGATCTGTAGCATGCCAAGGGCATGTAACCTTTCATTTTGGGTAAGCCGACGCATATCAAAATTTGTTTTCTGGTCACTAAAGCAATTAAACTGATGTTTCCACCCTGGAATTCAATGCCACAATGACTGTAACATTCAAAGTCAGAGTCGTGCAAATCTTGGGTTGGACCCCCATGATGATCCCAAGCATCACCTGCATTCCATGCGGTAGCTATTGGTGCGTTTGGGCGTCACATGTAACTGGAAATGTTTCTTCTGTTAGGTTCTATAGTGACTTTTTTCGTAGTCATTTGCATATTTTAGTATTATGCCCCCAAAATCAAATATCCCCTACTTTTTTTGAATAGTATATGATGTGCATGGTAGAAATCG